CCCCGCTTCCAGCCCCGTCCCGGACCTCAGCAATCCAGCGGGGTGAACAGCCCCTCCCTGCTGCCCGGTGGGCACAGCAGAGAGGCTGGTAAAGAGCCCCCAGATCTGCCACACGACCATACTCAGAGCCCTCGCACAACCTGGTTTTCTTGCCAATGAGGAGTTGATAAAATTCAGGCAAAAAAACTGTGTTGTGGAGGGGCTTGAATGTGAGAGGGGATGAGGAGAGGCCGTGGTGGCTGCAAAATGGGACACACACTGAAAACTGCAGCTGTAACTGCTTGCAAATTGCAGAGAGCCTGTAGTCAATGATAGAAAAGCAGCTGATCATGCAATCATGATCATCATCCCCAGGGTGTCCCCTATGGTGTGGCATCTCATACCCTCGAGCAGCAATAGGGTGGTCTCTCTGGCGTCATGTGCACTATGCTGCTGCACAGCCTGGCCAGGCTATAGCCACCCCTGGAAAAGGTTCCTCTTTGGGAAACAATTACGCCCTCAAAGGACACACCCACCCCACTGCTCACAAGTGCACACCTCAGCTGCAGCCCCCACACCACATGCTGCATCTCTGAGTCCCTTCCCAAGGCAGTGCCCTTTGACTTCCCCTCTGCCACCTCCATGCAAAACAGAGCCTGCAGTCACAGGCCCACAAGCATCAACATCACTACATCCCATCAAAGCACTAATGTTTCCAGGGATGTGTGTGGAGCTTTAGTCCGGGCTTCAGCGCTGGCACTTGTTACACAGATCTCTGCCAGCCAAACAGTGAATGAAGCCATTGTGCCCAGCCCCGACACTTGCATGGGGAAGTTCCAATCCATGGCATGCAGTAAGTACTTCCCCTATGCCATATCAGAACAGGCTCCTCCAAACCAATAACGTCTTATCGCAAGAACCTGGGAAGGGATAAACAGCTCAAAGGTGTAAACGGCCAGAGTCACCTTGGCCAATTTCTCTCTGAGGAGTTGTGGAGCCAAACCATCTCTTGTGGGATGAGTGGAGGAGTTTCTGAGTGTACTGGGTGTGAAAACAGAACCAAAATCCATGTGTCTGTCCTGGATTGGTGATTCCCAACATGGGTGTTCAGATACACTCAGCCACAAATGTGGCTGAGCCATCGTGCCTGCTGCCTGCCCATACTCATGGCCATGTGTCCCCAAAGCCCAGCAGATCAGGAGCCACAGTAGAAAGGATGCACCATAGGCTCATCCCCAGGCAAAACAGTGGTGTGGCAGCTCGGGAAGGTCACAATGTGGCACCAATTTTAATCCAAGGAAAATATTTTCCCCAGTATGACAGGCTTAGAAAACACTGCCCCAGGCTAGTATCATGGATGAGGGCTTCAAGAGAGACTTTCTGCCCTGGGTCCTAGCAAAAGTAATTTACTTATGAACAAATGCTGATAAGCAAATGGGACAGGGCAAAAAGAGGAAGGTAAAACAGAAAGATTAGGCTCCTCTTCCAAAGATCAGGGTCTCTAAGAGCCCGTGCCCCCATGCCAGTGTGGTAGCCCTGAGAGTAGCTGTCAACATGGGAGGGCTACAAAGGCAGACATAATTGAGTAGCCAGGTGTGGCCTTAGTGTTGCCCAGATTTAGTATTTACAAGGATTTTTTCCTCATCTGTTCAGAAGCCTATTCATGGTCCTATGGACAAAAGTCCAGGGTATAATCAGCATCATGACTTGTGTCAGCAGCAGGAGGGGACAGGAACACTATGCTAGTCCCCAGAAGGGCTCATCTCTCTGGAAAACTGCCAAGATATCCACAGAGTGTTTTCACTCCTCATGAGCTGCCAGCACAGCCTGTGGTGTGGTGGTACTGGTTAAAGCCTGACTGATGTGCAGACCATTACAGCACGGCTCTCACGGAGCTCTTCCAGAGCAGCTCTATGCCAGTGACTTGCCTGGAAATGCCAAGATGCCTCAGGCACTGGGAAGCTGGCTTTCTAGCTGGCAATTCCCCACATTTATGAAGACAATTCTTGCAGAGAAGGTACATAAAAAATTGGAGTTTTCTTCCTAACTCAGATACACCACTGGCTACTTCTCTGCAGTGGCCTCGATGTTCAAACTGCCAGCACAGCCACTAAAAACTAATATTTGGGACCATGTAGAGCTGTTCTTCATGGCCACTGCAATTCTTTAGTTTATGTTGGGTACACATGTAACACTGTCAGCACAGGCTGGTTGGAAAGGTGAATGTCACCCACAATGCCCAAACAACCTTGTTTACATTTCTTTACTCATTAACAGGGGTAAGATCTAACACATACAACTCCCTTTGTGTTACTTAAAGAGGTACAACTCAAACAGTTCAGAGGCAGTCATGAGCTCAGCAGCATTTGTAGTCCTCCATAAAATGTCTTCAAAGCCCTGTCAGGAATCTGAGCAAGAACTCAGACATATTTAGAAAATCTGACACTCCATCAAACATCCATCTGACAGTCACAGTTGCAGAGAATCACTACAGACAGCCCTAAGTGAGGGTCATCACATCTCTTACATACGCTTTAGCTGCCCAGAGAAGACAAAACATCTATTCATTTTTGACTTCGAAAAAGGAGTGAAGTGTATTAGTAATGCCTTGAAGCCTAAACAACAAAAAAAGGTCTACTTCATTAGAGTCTGCATTTACCAAGATTAACCTTTCTTCTGAAGAGAGTAAAAAGAGGACAGGGATAAAGGATTCTTGTGCCAGTTTTGATGATAGAAATGAGACTGAATGAGCAAGAAGGAATCTGTAGGAGCTGTTTTGAGCCCAATGTCTGATGACCCAGCCCAGCTCCATAAATTCATCCTTTCAGTAGCTTTGGTGCTCACAGGGACACTTGGAAAAGCCTCTGAGCCAGGTAGGAGCTGGAACTGGCTGCAATTCCAGCTCCTAAGATAAGCCTCAGCAGACCTTTGTACATTTGCTCTTCCACTGATTTGTTCTCCAAACTTGCTTCAATTATTACTTTGAAAAACACATCCTTACTAGATGCTGGAAAGCACATGCTTTACTTGTGTAGCACTACCAGTTGTTTCCAGGGCATTGCTGCAAGGCACCAGCACTCACTGAGCTCCTCATCCATGGAGACCTCCTTGGGTTGCCCAAAGAAGTAGCAGAGGAGGTAATTGTGAGAGAAGAAAATACCCCAAACCCCAATCCTGCCCCCAACATCCCAGTCCCACTGATTCCCTTCTAGCCTGTCTCCTGTTCACTCCTCCATGGCTCTTCCTATTTCCTCCACTGATCGTCTCCAACATCCTCTCAACCTTTCTGGCCCCTGAACCCAAACACCTTCCCTCTTTTCAACCATTGGAGCTCGAACTTTGTATCAAACCAGACATGAACCCCTCCTGTGACGAGTTCAGTCACAACTGAATCCAAACTGGATGGTCACACTGTTCTGACCCAGGTCTCTCACCCCAGATCCAGCCACCTCCAGGGCCAGCTGAGGCAGCCTCACTTTTGGTCCCAAGGCAGCCTGCACCAGCTCAGCCCTGGCCTGGATCCATCCAAGTCATCACAGCCCTCTGGGCTCCACTCAGGGAGGTTACACACCATAAGCAAATAAAGTTGGGAAGTCCCTGGCACTCCACATCTGGGACACAGCCTGGCTTTCCTGATCTCAAACCTTTTTCTTGTCTCTTTTCTCCAAAATTCTGTTCCCTCTAAAAGTTGCCCATCTCTGCGGTTGTCCTAAGTTTCCTCATGTTTCCTTGAGTCACTTCCCCTTCTGGATGGCAGAGGGGCTTAGGAAGGTATGGCTGAAGAGGAAGATGGAAACCTGGCACAGGGCCATGCGCAGAGAGCCCAAAGTGTTGGTCAGTCCTGGTCACACATTCCTGTGGGTACATCACTTGCCCTTGCAGGGCATTCCTGAGCTCCCAACCACTGGCCAGGATTTCAGCCACATCTCAGAGTTTCTTCCTTGTTTCATCTTGACAGTGCCCCCATCACCCTGCACAGAAGCTCCTGGACAAAGTAGAAACATGCTGCCAGAGGAAAAACTTGAGAGCTGCATGGTCTCTGCCTGGATTTGGATGGTTATCTGTGTTTCAGATGCTACAGGAAATAACAGAGACACAGGACCTCATTGTGGATTCTTGCTTTACGGATGTCCTAATATGCTGATCTTTTAAAGCCGAACTTTCTTCACTCACAAACAGCCTGAACATGTACATGTCTTACTTTGACTCAAGAGAACTATTTCTTCATTAGGTTGACCAAAAACCGGTGGTCTCAGTAATGAAAGGCAGAATTCATCTTGTGGAAATGCTCGTGGAAAGTCTCCTCCACAACAGAACAACTGGGTTACCTCATTCCAAAAGTCTGCCAAGCACCAGCACCACCCAAACACTTAAGAGCACGGTTATTTTGCTTCATAAAGCCACATCCTTAAGGATTTGCAAAGAATCTGGAACTTCAAAAATAACTAGGAGAATCCTTTCGCTGACAAATACTGGTTTACAGGATCTGTACTGCCCTCAAATCTCACCCCTTCTGTACCATACTGCACAAACCTGCAGCTTCAGCAAGTTTTGCAGTCTTAGATAAAAGCTTTAAAGCTTATAGATACACACAGACACAGAGAAATGAGATAAATATCAGGTGTTTAATCCTTTTTTTGATGACACTGAAGATCTTAGGATGACAAAAGATCTACAAAAAACACCAGAGAAAAAATACATATAAACTCCCAATGCAAAAAAAGTGCAGCTACCTATAGTGCTTTGCCATGCCCAGAGAGGATGGGAAATTAATTCAGCTATTATGTGGGTAATTGGACTTAAAAATATTCTACTGCTCCCACAGCTCCTCCCATCCAAAATAACCCATCCCAGAAACTCAATCTGCTGGATGTGTACATGCTTGTATGTAAAGTCAACCCCCTGCTACAAAGAACCTGGGAGGGTTTCAGGAGCTTTGCTCCTGATGAGAACTATGTACTAAAGACTCCTCCATCCAGGTTGTCCTGGGAAAACATGGTCTGAGGCCTTAGTCTTGAGTTTCTCTCACTATTTCAGTTTTGGGACAGTTTCAAATCTAGAGGCTTTTAGCCTGCTCTGATTCCCTTTCTGCTGACAGCTTTCTTAGGGACAGGTTTCTTAGGGACATTTTGATAAACAAGGCATTTAATGCAAAGCAAAAACGCAGTGATTTTTGATAAAAGTTTCCTGGAGCAGATTGTTCAGCCAATTCAGCAAAGAACTCTGAGCTTTGTGGCAAGGACTGTGTGATGCTGAGGGCACACTGTCCCCTTCTGGCAGCAGCCACACACTGAATCTCATCCATGCAGAAGGTCTGGGCAGACAAGCAAGTGAGCAGGAAGGAAGTGTTCTGCAAAGCAACATCCAGCAGGACAGTGCTAAAACCAACCTGACAGATTGGGCTGCCCAAGGGAATTCATTCTCCATCTGTCTTTGATATCTTCTCTTGCCTACGTTCAGGCAGAACTCGGCAGTATCTGAGCTCCGGGAGTGAAATAACAAATGGCTCTTGGGAGTCGACTTCTAAGGGAAGAAACACAAATGATAGAACACCTGACACCATCTTCTCAAAGCTAAGGTCTGTGGCCACCCAAAAAAGGGTGGCACATCCCTCCAATGAAGAAGTCAATGTCAGTAGGGCTGTGGAGCAGTTAACATCATCACAGAAAGCTCCAGCAGGGTCAGAACTGCAGCTCTTACAGTGAGCAGCCATTTCCACTGCCATGTGTGTTTTGGGGCAAGGTAAACCCAACACTATCTGACTTGGAAGAGGGAAAACACTTAGCTTGGACACATTGTCCATCCCCACCCCAGCATGTAAACCCTCATTCTCATTTCTGGCTCATATTACCTGCAAGGTCCAGCTTGTCTTCCCTCTTGTATCTGAATCCAGTCAACAAGCACCACTTCCATCTACACCGTCCCTCAGGCTCTGCCCTGAGCTTGTTTTTGTGTCCCACACCCCTGGGTCACCCAGTTACCTTCATGGCAGTTCAAGGCTTCTCTCAGTGCCCTACAGGCAGCTTTCTTTGCCTCCAGGACACCTCCAGGCTGGCCTGGGCTGTAAATTGCAGTCTCTACAGTCAGTTGCAGGGCCCCATCCAGCACACACTGCATTCTCCTCAGCGCTCTCACTGCCTGGTCCAGCTGCTCCTGGGAGTCAGGACGGATCATCACAAGCACCAGCACATTTGGCAGGCAGGGGAGGAGGCTCCTCACGTCCCGGACAGCTTCCTCCAGGTGATCCCACTGCATGAGCCTTTTCAACACACTGGCTTGCCATAGCATAAAAATCAGGTGTGGGGGAACCAAGTCCTCCTCTTCCTTTCCTTCATTCTCTGCCTGCTGTGGTTTATGCTTGATGTCCCCCGTGCCACACAGGTCCCGGGTAAAATCCACCAGCAATGAGGGAGCTCTTGACTCAGCATGGTCCACCTCCATCACACCCACCCGTCCATTCCGGCTCCCCAGCATGTCCAGTAGGTTGAGGAAATCCCAGGTGGTTCTGTCCACGAAGGAGGCTGACTCCTTGGATGCCATAGCTTCCTCTCACACGTCAGATTTATGTGCTGCTGGGGAAAGGAGTGAAAGTAGCAAAGGCAATTGCACAGCACAGGCTCCAAACAGGCAACACCTGCTGCTCCGAGCAGCCAAGGCCGGGTTGGGTGGGACCAAATGAATGTGAAAATAGCAGGTTTGTACAAAGATTCACAAATTGCAGCCATGTGCTTTTTGGGGTTGGACATCCCAGAAAAAGGCTTTGTACGTTGGCAGTCTGGTACAACAGAAACAAGTTACAGGGGAAAGAGAAGGGATGATCATGTGTATTTGGGCATCTTGTATCAAACTCGGAACTTACTCCCTTCTCATCAGCAAAACCCAACTATATGAGAGTGACCACAGGCCTACAAACCCATTGTTACAGTTGTTGTTACAGTTCACTTTGCTCATTATGTTTCCGCCTCCTTACTCTGTAGTGCCTAAAGCTGGAAATCCCATCCATCCTTCTTTGAATCCAACATGTCCAACCCATTGGTAGTTGTGGAAGACTAAAAGCCCTGCCTGACCTGGTCCCACATCCCATAAGCTGCAATTTCTCTACACAGATTATAAAAGGCAGTTTTCCATGGCAAAGGCTCTCCTGCTGTGAAGGACAGCACTGGCAGCAGGGTTAGGTCTTTAAGTCCAGCAAAATAATTTCTATACCAGAGCTGAGTAGTTGGGTCAAGTTTTTAATTCCAATTGACAGTAATGTTTATGATTTACCCAACAATATATTCTGCACAACTACTCCACCTCTTTCAGAAAGAAGAGGATTAGCTGTGAAATACCAGCCCACTGCAGACTTGCAAAGCCAACAACTCAGAGGGCTCCATGACACACACTGGCAGCAGGGCCAGGCAGGGAGAAGGAAGCTCTCATGCCCTGGGAAGGAGGGATTGCACTGGACTGGGCTCAAGGTGTGGTTGAGCCAACAGACTCACCTGCCTGACCAACCAGGATGCATTGAAAATGATGGAACTACTTGGGGTATGTGGAACTGCTCTCACAGGGTATCCACAGGTCATTGTGGGATTGTGACATCAGCAGCAGCCATGACAACCTGTGCCCACCTCAAACCGCCCTTTGAACCACCCAGTATTTTGGGAGGATTTTCAGAGATAAGAAACCGAGCCTTGCACTTCGCAACTGTAAGTTCATTTTTCACCACCGTATTGTTCAGCAAAACGAAAAGAACTAAGGAAGTGCAGGAAGATGCTCACTGCCCTACATGACAAGCTGGGATAAGGCTGGCCAAGAAAACAGCATTAACACCTGGGCACTACAGAGCTGTGCAATGAAAAGGTCTTTAAATTATTTACACAAAGCAGACACTACAGGCACATGTGCTGCCCAGGAACATGTGGGCTCATTATCAGGGATTCCACCAGAACTACTACTGTGAGATGTGAGAGAGGCTTTGCACCTGCCAGGATTTAGTGTGTCTGTCTGTGCTGTCAAGTCTGATACCCTACTGAGAAAGAGGTCTCTCAAAATTGGTGGAGGCAATAAAACCAGAAATATACAAAAGTTAAACAGATTCTCCATTTTATTTTGAATAAAAATTTAGATCCTAGATGGATACAGCATCTGTAAAAACACAAAACCAGAGAATCATGTTAGAAATTTTGTATTCAAACATGAGTTTTGCAGTTACAATCTAGACCATGTTCAACTGCTATTAAAGCAATCCCCAGTTTATGCAGAAGAGTGTGAGAATGAATTGTAGGAGCACTTTGCTGGTGGCACAGACTCTGTGGCAGCCAGCCCTCCTGTGCACCAACAAGAGTTCCCATGGCTCTGGACTTCAGAAATTATCTGTGCTGCTCCTACTGTGCTTTTTTTAAGGCACAGGAGAATGACAGAAAGAAAGGACTGCACCCCTCTTGTACTCCTTTTGACAGCATCACTATGAAAATATTACATCACAGCTCTGGGTGAGAGACTTAAAAGGACAGTCCAACTGAAGCCCTGTGGCTAAAACACCAACAATGGGGACAGGAGGAAGTGGCCATGACAGAAGAGCACTGCCCTCAGTTAAAACATTTGGGATGCAAGAGAAAAATCAAAAGGCAAAGTAGAAGAGTGCAAAAATATACAGAACAGATTGGTGGAGTCTTGGAGCTTGAAGAGTCTTTCCACACAAGCAAGCACACAAACCCCTGTCAAAGAGACAAAACCCCTCGGCATATGAAGCCAGCAAAAAGCCTCTCTAGGCTCCAAAACAGTCACCGAGCCACGCTGAACACCCAGCAGCAACACAACAAAACCAGAATTCAAATATTCCCTCATACTATGTGGAATTAAAAGGCACCCCAAGACCTGCCAATAAATATCTTGCTGCTAAACCAGATCCACTTACCACCCGGATTCTGTGTCCAATGGCCTTGGCAGGAAGGTTGGAGCGGAACTTGGCGCGCACCATGCCACTGTTCCCATGGGCGCGCGTCACCTTCCCCCAGATCACGCGGGTCCTGTTGGGTTTGCCTCCGGGGGTCACCGTGTTGCTGGGGGAAAGGAGGCACAGAACAGCTCAGCAGGGCAGTCACAGCTCTGCTGTCACCAGCAGTGACAATGTGGTTTCTCAAAGGCACCTCAATAATTTAGCTCTATAGCCATCTTTAACTAGAGCAACAGCCTCTTTTATTTACTTGTGAAATTCTCCGGGATTTTCACTGCCCCTTTCAAAGGCATAATTACAGCTTGTAATTTACCAGAAGTTCCACTGGACAAGTATTAACAGCTTACAAAGCTCAAATATTTGGAAAACACTTTTGCTAACAGGATGAGACTGAAAAATCTACAAAGTTGCCAACACCTTATTTCTCCAGACACACTGAAGGCAGGAGAAGAAGAGGCCATTGGGATAGATGGCAGAAATCGCCTTAAATGAAGAGCCATGGACCATGCTGGAAATGATGGTGGTCAAGTTACCAGTTTGATCAATTTTATTCAAGGTAATTCCAACAGCACTCAAGAAAAAAAAAGTGGAAGTAATAAGCAGCTGATCCCAAGGTGTCTACCAATGGCAGCAGAGCAGAAGTGAAAGACATTACCCAGACACACAAAAGTCAGAATAAAAATTCATTCAGGCTTCACAAAATCACTTTACTGTTTAAGTAACTCAACAGTTTAAAGTATTTAACGCAAATTCACCCACCTCAATTTACCCCATCAACCCACCTTCAATTTTTGTCAAGCTCAGGCAAAACTTGGTTCTCATCCCACTTGCTCTCTAACGTATCATATAATATCATTAACACCTAGCATTTACAAAGCCAATACAGGAACTGGCTAATTCAGCACAAGAATAAAACATCACTTACTTTTTAGCTTTGTACACGTAGGCACACCTCTTGCCCAGGTAGAAGTCTGTCTCCTGACGGGCATAAACACCTTCAATTTTCAGAAGGGCCGTGTGCTCCCGCTGGTTTCGGAGGCCACGTTTGTAGCCAGCAAAAATGGCCTTGCACCACAGCCTAAAGACATGGAAAACATCTGTGAATTATGAATTACTCCAAAGTAACAAAAATAAAAACAAATCACAGGCTGCTTCAGCAGAAACTAATTCCACACCAGTAGAAATCAGCAGAGGAAACAGCCAACTTTTACAAATCACTGCAAATACTTATGTTCAATGAACAGAGGAAAGCTGAGTATGTGGAACATGAAGTATTTGAGAGAATTCTGCATTTTCTGCTTGTCATAAACTCTTGGCACAACAATACTGGCTTCATACTAAGTTTCAAATGCTGCAGCATTAGCAGATATTGTTCCTAAATATCAACTAACAACAAGTAAACACTGGTTTTTTTCTACACGCCACAGCAAGTCTCCTGTGTTGCAGTAACTGCTAGAGAAGGCATGAGCTGCCCCTGATTTGTAGCTTTAAAGGAGTGAACAGCCAGAGCAACAGCCTGACATCCACTGGACACAGGCATTGCACAAACTCCTCAGTCATTCCTCAGAAGAATTCTTCAGGCACTGCCCACGTGAAGTCATTCTAAGACTTGTCCCACGCACCGAGCAGACAGCACATCTGGCCCAAGGGCATCCAGCATCTGCCCCGGGATCCAGCAGGATCCAAGATACTCAGTTCTACCTGCCACACGTGTAACAGGACATCAACTCCACAGACAATAAAGCTGATTCACAGAACCATCGAATGATTTGGGCTGGAGAGGACATTTAAGACCATCCAGTTCTGACTCCCCTGCCAACTCAATCCCTACGGTGGCACAACAGAAAATTCACCCATGGGAAAAACACATTACCCTGTTTACTCAAGGAAAAAGTCCATGCCAAAGCTCCACTGTACACTGGAGACGAACAAACCCATAAATTTCACACTGATATTTACTGACAGGCCAGGGAGAGCGCAGCACATCGTAACAGCAACTACAAGCAGCTCAAGAGACTTCAGAACAAGGACACACAGCTGTGGGCGTTCAACAGGGCCCAACAGGGCCCGGCAGGACACTGGACAGAGGAACACTGGGCAGAGGAACACTGCTCATGGCCCACAGCTTCAACAAACGCTCTCAGGAACGTTCCAACAGCAAAGAACAGAGAGCCAGCACTCACTCACCTCCCGGTCATGGTGTCCTCCCGCAGACCCGGTCCCGGCAGGCCTGCAAACGACACACAGCCATGAGCCGCGGGCCGGCAGCTCCACCCGGCCCAACGAGCGGGACCCCGAACACCCGGGGGCTGCCCGGGAGCCACCCAGAGCTCCGGGAGCCTCCGCTGCCCCCCAGAGCAGCCGCCTCAGCCCCGCTCCAGCCGAGGGCCCCAACCCGCGACTGGGACCATCCGCCGCGCATCGGCGCCATCCCGCCTTGTTTCCGCCCCGAATCGCGCCATCCACCGCGCCCCGGGAGCCCCGCGCCCGCCGGCGGCCCCTCAGCGGGGGCAGCACCCCCCGGCCCCGCTCCCGGCCCGCGGCCCCGCTCCTCCTCACCCGCAGCGCCCCAAGATGGCGGCGAAAGAGACCCGCGCCCCGCTGCCTGCCGGGAAATGCGCCGCCAGGACCCAAGCGGGCAGCCCGAGCCCTGCCGGAGTGAGCAGCACCGAGTGAGGAAGGTACCGCCCGTCCCGTGTCCCCTGTCCTGTGTCCCGTGTCCCCTGTCCTGTGCACGCGTGCCCCGGGGGCGATCCCCGCAAGATCGATCCCAGGAGGGACAGCCCCAGCCCCGCTGAGCAGGCACCCGCCGGGCAGCCCCGCGAGGTCCCCGAGAGTGGTGGTTGCCATGGAGACGGGCGGCGCATCCCGGTGAGGGCGGTAACGGGAGCGGGGAAATGAGGGCAGATCCCGGTGAGAGGTTGAGGGGAGCACGGGCCGCTCTGGGCAGGGCGAATGAAAACGGGCCGCTGCGGTGGAACGAACCGAGGGGCCCGAAGAGAGGCAGCGCGGGGGGAGAGAGCAGCCCTCGGTGTTCGGGGTGGGCTCCGGGCGCTGCCTGTCGTCCGATGTTCTCACCCTGAGTCAATAAATCATCTCCACATTTATTTTACTTCTGATATCGCCTTGGAGGCAGAAAACATATTTCGACACTGAAATCCCTGTAACCAAGTCTCACACTCCTTTATTTTCCAAAATAAGATCTGGAACCATGTACTTACCCTTTTGCTCACGTCAGGGTTATTCACTCCCGATTTCTGCCACTTCCCTCACACTGCCAGAAATTCAGATACATTTTCAGAGCACTTGAAGTGATGTAGGGGAAGGAAGATAAAGGGAAGGGAAACCTTGATGGTCTCTTTCCTTTTCCTTCTCTTCCCATCCCTTTGTTTCCTGTCCCCTTCCTCTCTCCATTCCTCCTCTTTCTTGTCCTTTCCTTGCCCCTTCTCCCTCCCCCTTTATTTCTTTTTAAATGAGAACCTTGCTGTCCTAATATTTCTAGCAGGAGGCAGAGCTGTGTAAAGTAAGACCACACCTATTTTGCTTTTCAAGAGACCTTTCTTTGGTAAAAATGAAGTTACTTGTGATTTCTGGCTCAGCTGCTGCTCCTGTGGATATTCAGAACCTCTCTTTGCCAATCATTTGCCAAGCAGATCTAAAGAGGATGTGACATTCTCAGCTATGCATTTTATCACTGGAATTCACTGGAGTCTCTTCTCTTGACTACAAGGAATGCTGCACAAAATGCTGCTCTTGTATCCATTTTCCTTTATCAGGCAGCAGGGTGGGAGGAATGAACATCCAGGACTCTCACACAGCAGAGGGAGTTGCAGTCCCCAAAGGAGCAGGAGGCCAGACCTTTCATACAGTTGCTTCAAAAATTATTACTTGATATGTTTTTCTTTCCCTTTATATCAGCAGGGAAAGAATGTCATCCAAAACTCACGGGGGAATACGCTTTTTTTAAAAATTATTATTAATAAAGCTTAATGAGGGAGTTCAGCAAACACAACAGTGCAGGGTGATGCCAGTGGATGGTCTGAGGGGCACTGGGCTGCCACTAAAATCCAGAGCAAGCAGCTCATATCTGTAGAGTTTGCTAATTCACAGAGAGTGGTTTCCTTCTCAAGTCCAACTTAACACAAGGCCAGACCCTGCTGGCTTGGCACATGGATCTGCTGAGCAAGGATGGGGATGTAAGAGAAGGTGCACAGGAGGAGCAAAGCAGCAAAGGGCCTTTAGAGAAACATTCCAGCTGCCAGCTGTCTTGAAACATATTAATATCCTGAATGAATCCTCTCCTGGTCAGAAGCTGCTAATGGAAAAGAGGAAAAGCTGCTGCATCCTCCTTTGTTTCCAAATAAGTCCCTTTTTCCTATGAGACCTGCATGTGTTATTTTTTTTTTCCAAAAATGCTGCTGTAATCATCTGTCACAGCTATCTACCAACACATCTTTTTTCACCATATTTTTAGCATTATGACTCCACATGTAATAGATTATTCTTAGGTTGTTTAGACTCAAAATATGGATCATGGATTTCTGAAAAAGATAAAAATGAGTAAAACATTGAAAAATATTTTATTAGTGCCTGTTGACTGAAGACACTGCTTTTCTTGATGAAAAAATGCTGCATCTCCAGTTCTATAATTGATTCCGAGGTTGACAAGAAAAGTGATGGGTTTAATGTATTATACAGGTCATTTGCCATTTTTTATTTTTGTTAATGCTTTTATCAGATTCCTATCTCAAGTTGTTATAATTAAGATAAAAGAGAGAAAAAAATCTCAGAAGCAAAGGGATGAAATCACTTCCTTCTTTGTCCTAGGTGGCCATCAAAAGCCCTGCTCAGAGGAATTAGATGTAAGTGGTTACAAACAATACAAGTATAGTGAACATACTGATAATATTCAGAATTGTTACTTTGCTGCTATCTTTTCCTGCCATGATTTAAAGAAGCTTCTTGACATAAATCAGGATGCCTCTGCCATTACCTTGGCTGAAAGGCTGTTGTGTATCTTCATCCATTCAGGAGTTAGAAACCTTATCACAATGGCCTGGCTTAGGGGAATTTACTCTCTTTTGACCCAGAGCAGTATTACCCTTTACCTTAAATACCTCTGTCTCTCCCTGGTCTCTGCCCTTCCTATGGATTTACTGAGAGCAATCCCAGTCACTGCCTGTGCACACTTTCTAATCTCATCCCCAGGGAGAGCCCTGTCCTCTTCCAGCACATTTCAACAAGTGCTGCATTAAACAACTTCCTGCAACAGACAGGGACATCAGGAAATAGATGTGTGAAATCTGAGTTTGTTTTGAGTTTGAATCTTTTGTTTGTTTTACGTATTCTGTACTAACAGACATCAAATAAACCTGCACTGAAAAGTGGCTCTTCTTTTCTGCCAAGTGAAATTAACTTCATGGTCCACCTGTAAATTACATATTTTCTTCAAAAAAACAACAAAATAGGAGGAGGACAAATGATAACTGCTACAGAAATGTTATAGCAAGTATGAATCTTTTTAAACACTTGCTTATGAAATATCACTGATTCCCAGTGATTCAGAGCAAAGCTGCATCCAAACCTCTTTAATTTTCATAGGATATGGCCATGTCCTGTGCTAACAGGGACTGCCTGATGTGTTTCCTTGGCATGCTTACAGGTTGGGCTGTAGTATTTTGCAGGCTTAGGATATGTTTATGCAAGGGTTTTACAGATGGCACAAATCCAGTTGTAGGTAGAGCAGCCAAATTAAGATTTTGTTAGTGATTGTTGATACTTCCATTGCAATGACACTCAGGATCTCAGCCACCTCAGACTGCAGTTGTGCTACATGTTGTACAAGAAATACCTGGTTTGTATGTACAGGCTTTGGAGGGATTGTCCAATGGCATATCAAAACATTACCATTCTCAGAGAATTTCCCCATTGTTGTGCAGGTGTTTTCTTAGGTATTTTTGGATTAATAGAGAATTTTCACTTTTCCTTAGAGATGCTTTCACAATATTCCATCTGTAGGCAAGGCAGAGGGGTGCTTCAGTGTATGTCAGAGCAGTTTCATGTTTGAATTGCAAGTTAAAATAATACAGAAAGTTAAAGATTGTTTACCCAGTCCAGATGTTGGTTCTTGTTTAACTTTCAGCATCTTAAGATGGTAACAGTTCCTGCTAGGAGGGGACTGGGATCATAAAAGTGTGAAGGCTGCACAGTAATATTGAGGAATGATTAGAGCATAAAGGTTCACCCTCTGAGACTTTAAAGGATATAGATTTATGTTTTTCTTTTGAAAAGGCACCTTTCTTCTGTCCTTTCCCAAAGTCCACTCTGCTCCCCCCTGAACTGATTAATGAGGCACCTCACCCAGTTTGTGCCCTCCAAACCCATTCCCTTCTCAGCCTGTCTGCCCAGATCTGCTGGAGGAGGGACCAGGACTTCTTTGTTTTGTGAAAGCTAAACATTCCCACTGTCCCTGCATGCAGCCATTAGCAGAGCCCAGCTCCTCTTATAAACAGTGTATGGAAGGTTATAAACAAAGCCAGGGAAGTATATGTAAGGCTGCAATAAGGCTATTTTGGGTCTACCTTTAGTTTAAACTACTCTTACTGACATTACTAACACCACAGCATTTTTCTGATTGGTATCTTTTATCTTTGTTCCTCCTAGCAAGAACACAGAGACTAAACAAATGGAAAAAATCACTCATGTGGAAGCTCTGATGTTTGGTGCTGTGCTGGAGAGCTGTGTGGATCAGCTTACAATTATTGGATACATCATGCCAGTTCCACCTTCAGACAAGGCAGACATCAACCTTGTATGTGCCACTGCTTTAAAAGATGTATATCATATATTTTTTTTTCTTTGTCTTGGTTTTATATCTTTTACCAGCATTTTAAAAAAATTCACTCAAATATATCTTCTGTGATTCTATGACTCTTGGGTGAAGAAACACAATAAAAGTTACCTAATTTAAATATTTATATTGCAGCATCACTGAGAAGCCTTGGTCAAGAATTTGTGCAAAGGATTCAACTGATCCAAGATGAGGTTCCTAAGATTATGATTTTAAAGTCTCAGTGGTTAGACAATAAGCAAAGAATTGGGGGAAAGGAAGCAAAACATATGTAGATTCTTCTGTAGATACAGAGCTATTTTAAAATTAGAAATGTATAGGTTATTTCAAAGTACTCAAAACTAGGTTAATTCTATTCCTCTCCAGGTCCATGCCAAAGATCCTTTTGTTCCCACAATGTATCAAGAAAGATGCACTTCAAAATATATTAGTAACTACCCTTTCTCAGTGCTCATTAATTATTAGTTGATTTCTAATAGGCATCACAGCTAATATGGTTGGGCAGAGATATGGAGAGCAGAGAATTCCTGATGCTCAGGAGGGGTTTGTTGCTGTGGAGGAAGGTGGTGTGACATTTCTGGTAGCTGTTAGACATGGGAATCAGGATGGGACCGTCCTCAGGGGTCAGTGGCTCCAAGTACTGTGCTCCATAAGTGACACAGCAGGCTCTTTCCAGTTCTAGCAGGTTTGAAACCTTTTTAAGATGAACTCAAGAAAAAAAGTTCACAACCAGGATGGAAATAAAAACCGGGATCTGAGTTTTGACATCTAATGATGTTCACTCTGTCTAATGTATCACTTCAGAATGCCACAGGAAGTTAAATTTTTCTACGTGCTTCCTTTGTATATTACCTTTCCAAAAAACCTATGGCAAAGCAGCAGCAGCTGGAGTTAGAGTGATTTTCAGGGTGGGAACGATGCTGAGTCTGTGCCATAGAGGGCACTGCTCCCCTGAAAGACTCCTGGGAGCCGGCCTCAACTGCTCCCAGAGGATGCTTCTCCCTCTCTTATGTGCCAGCAGCAAAACACAGAAAGAGCACATCTCTGGGACAGCAGGAATTGTCCTTTTCAGACACGCAGACTCAGGTTGATAGAACTACTGAAGGGACACGTAAATTACAGAGAAAACACCTTTGCTTTTCTCTTCAATCACATGATGCTCATTCTCACCAAGTCACATCTTAGAACACAACTTTCTCACAGGTTAGAAACCCTACCTGTGGTCTTAAAGATTTCAAAACAATTTGAGGAGGAAACAATTTAGAAACAAGAAAATGGCTTAGGGAAGCTACTTGCTAACTTTGGTGCTCTGTAATTTGGTACTCCTCCCTGTTTCTCAGATTACATTTGGCTGTTTTCATTGTATTTGTACAAGATCTGTATTTGCAAAGTACCCTGGAGTTCTATCAGGCAGACAAAGCAATGGCATTTTCAAAGACTGACATCTGAATTTCAGTTGATGACATTTTTGAGAGGATTAATCACAGTGTTGGCCAGCACCTCACTGATTTTCCAGATTGGATGCTCTTGCACATTGCTTCACACAGTGCATGCCCCAGAGGAAGGCAGCCTTTGTATTTGCTGGATTTTGGGCAACACACAAGCACTTAGGAGACTACACAGATGGTAACACATGCAGTTTATAAAGTTCTTGCTTTTACATAGTTATTTGTTGATTATTAGTGTGTAACTACCTACTGTTTACAGACAACTCAGTTATTGCCTGCCTTGAACTTTCCCAGACATTAAAAAACATCAGAACATTCATAAAATCTACATAATATTAAAGCAGTTTGTTTGCCAAAATTAGTTCTTTCTGAAGTGCAGTTGTTACCAACCAGCTATTTAAGCCCTTTTTTTTTTACTAATTAACAATGCAATTTTCATTGGACAGTGTATGTTTTGTATATGATTCATTTAAAGTAAATTTAACAGTCCAAAAATTAAGCACATAGTCACTTATCCTCCTTCTGTAGTCACTGATGAGTCAGGAACTGCCAGAGGCTGATCCACCCCAACCAGAGCTGTCCAAAACACTCAGCAGGGAGCAGTTCCTTGCAGTGCCCTCACAGACTGCAGCAGCACCTCCAGCTTCTGACAGAGCCTTGCCTGACAAGTAACTTTTGCAAGTACTCCTGGCATCCACAGCTGCTGCCCTGACCACTTGTTTTCTCTGCTCTGCTGGCACAAATGTGTGTGTGGTTGTGGAAGGATCTGGACTGAGAACTAGTGCTGCTAAAAATAACTTTTTTTTTTTTTTTCCTTTTTGCTGGAAAATGTTTCATCACAGTGAATTCTCTGTCTGCTTCCCCAAGCAGCCGGGGTGGGGAGCAGGCAGCTGTGCACAGGGATGGGCTGGCAGAGACTGTGCTAGCTGCAGTCAGCAGTGCTGTTAGGAAGTGTTCAGCCACAGAAATGCTGGTAGGCAAGCCACAAAATGTTCTCTTTTAATGTCCCAGTGTATACACCTGCATTTTATCCATAACACATAAAGCAGAGAATTTCCTAGAAGCAAGAGCTGATTTTAAAGTGTACCTTTGCATTTTTGGGGGCTTTTCCTTTTTTAATGAAATTGTACTTAATCACAAGATACCTTTCCATGAAGGAGAGAGATGCCAATATTTTGAATTTATCCTTTGAATTCAGCTGTTACTCTCAAAAAACCTGCTAAACAGATAGCAGACAGAAAGTCTATTGCAATTATTTCCACACAGCTCTAGTTATAACAATTATTTTGTAGGGAAAGTTTCTGGTGACAGGCAGTGGGAAATGTCTAAGATGGAGAGAAGGAGGAGGAGAAACAGGCTAACAGTTTGTAAAAACTGCTGCAAAAAAGGAGGGAACAACTTGTTCTCTGTGCCTAGAGACCAGGACAACAAGCCAGGAGTTAAAATACTGTTGAGGAGAAAAAACTTTCTTATGGTAAAGAAAATTGTGAGGGGCTGGCATTGACAGGAGGGTGTGTAGTCTGCACTGCTGGAAGCCATTAAGAACATGTCAGATTAAGAACAGTCTGAACCATCATCTCTTGGAGTGAATGATTTCACCTTTTTAGGCCTTTTCTAGTCCTGTCATTTTAGGACTTTTGAGCCCATAAACTTCAATGAGCTACACTGTGTGCTCAAAACTAACCAACAGAAATTTTTCTGATCATCCACTCTTGGCAAAATCTAACATGCACTATCAGCTGTTCTCAGTATAGCTTCATTCTAGTTAATTACTAATTTTCCTTCCTATCACATAATGTTGCAGAGGGTTTAGTTCTGCTGTGCAATGTGCAAGCAGGTCTCTCTTATTCCCTTTTCCCTCATACTCTTATTTCCCTTATCCCCTTTCTTTCCCATCCAGGAAACGAAAGCAGTGATCCAGGAGGAGCTGGGTATCAGCTTCCCAGAGCTTATGTCAGGAAAGCAAGAGAGTGGGCAAACAGTCCTGGAAAACACCGAACAAGAGCAGCAGCAGGGGAAAACTGAAGATCACAAAAGATCTTCCAAAACCCCCAAGAAACACATCACTCGGGCTCTAGAGAAGCTCAAAAAAATTTATGCTGACAGGTGAGTGAAGCACCTGTGAGGGATGCTCAGAGCTGTAAAGTTCTCAGTCTATCTCTTGAAAGCAAAAATAAAAAATCCTTGCTCTCCCACTGCCAGAGTACATCAGTCTCTGTCTGAAAGGAGTTCCTCTAGGGATAGGAGGGGTACCCTTCCTAGACCACTTAGTTCCAGCCTTTGCTTGCTTCTGGATGCTACCTAATGGCCAGGAGTTTATTTTGAATGGAGCTGTAAAACATCACCCCGTTGATAATGGTTGCCTGGGCAGAAATCATGGCAGGCACTCATCAGTGCTCATGTTCTGGTACCTGGAGTCTGGTTCCTTTAGCTGATCCCACATGCAAAGGGAGATCTGAGCCTTGTTTTTGAACTCAGTCATTCTGCAGGGCACACAGAGCTTCTGTGGCAGTTACAGCCAATATAGAAAAGGTAATGTATATAAAGACTAAAGATTTTCTTTCTTTTTTAAAACAAACTTTATTCCTGCACCTAAGCCAGTGCCCTGATTTGCAGAAATATCAACAGCCATTGGTTTGAAAGAGATTATGCAGCTGAATGCTCAGTATGCATTTTTCTGCATCCTGGCTTCTGTCATTTAATGTCATTTCAACAATGGGTTTAAGGAACATTCTGACACAAGTGAAGAAAATGCAGCTAAAATGTAAATGGCACATGCATCATGACATTCAATAAACTGGACAAGCCCACGTATTGCATGGCTGGGTCTCATTTTCTGAGATCCACCTGCCATCACTACTGCAGGCCAGCAGCCTTCTTAATGGCAGCAGTCTGGCACAGCATGGATATGTTTGTGCCTCTTTGCAATTTCTCAGAGTAGCATGCAGGGCAGCATTTTAAATTATAAATTTCAAGCAGCTCCTAACACTGAGTTCTCCAGATGTACAATAAACAGATACCATGGGAGAAGCACTCCTGAGTTTGGTAGGACATAAGACCAGAAAAGGGATTTTTTTCCCCTACACTTTACTGTAAACAGTAATGGATACTACCAGCACCTGTAAAGTATTGTTGTGTTCCTTTTCTTCCTGGCAGGCAGTATGCAAGTGATGTAATCACAGTCACTATTAAAAAGATGGAAGAATTGGGAACATTTAGTAGCCTAACAGATGCTAATGAGAGAGAGAAGGCAAGAAAGGGCAAGTTTTATGACATCCTCATCAGGTCAGTGTTGTGTTCAGTTCTTCCCTGTTTAAATGCTGAAAGCCCTTCCCACTCAGTACATGCTGAAAAGGGAATAAAACCCAATAAAACTAAAATACAGAAGGGATACCTTTTAAAACTTGGATTATTCTGTTTGCTTTGCAAACTGCAGGTTTTTCCCTTTGGAAAGAAATAGTGGATGGGTCTGATACTGATCTGAGCTAGGAATTGCCTGAGCTTTGACCACAGTGGACACCAGTGGCTGAATTAGTGCAAATGCCTCATTTCAATTAAAACATAATGTCATTTAGGAGCTCCTTGATCTTTAACTTCTGTCCCCAGTGAAAGCCAGAGCAGCAGAGGATCTGATCAAATCAGGGCCAGCAACATATGGCCTTTAGGTTGTCTGATGCCCAGGAGAATCTGCTCTGACCCATATGCTAATGGGCTCCCTTTTCCCAGCAGCAGTGAGGGGTCAGCACAGATGGTGACAGAGGGGTTGTATTTAAGGCTAATCCACCAGCCACTGTGCTGTGATTCTCTTCTGTCCCAAATCTTCCAGGGTACACATTTGTTATAATCTCAGCTCAGACTGGTGATTTCTCAGCTCAAACTTTTGAGCTCTAAAGGTGTTTGTTTATTTGTTTTTGGTTTGTTTTTTTTTCTTTTTTTTCTTTTTTTTTTTTTAGCATGCAAACCTCTGGTTCAATCCGAACACCATCAGAGAGAATTGCAGTTATCAGACAAATAACTTTAGTGTAGGCAGCCTACACTTTAAAGCTACCTCAGTGTAGCAGCTCAGGCCCATCACTGAGGGTGCACAGCAAAGCTGCTCTCAGTCATGATTTGCCAGGAGTCCAACCTACAGGAACTGCTCTTGTGGTGACTCAGGGATCTGCCTCCAGGGCAAATCCCCAGCCTCAGTGCACTGTGTGACTTCAAGCATGAAACCCAACTCTTCCACTTCCACTGCCTAAAACCAAGGGATTTATTGTTTATCCATGGAAAGCAAGAATGAGATTAGCAATTGGCTGTGGAGTAACTATCCAATACTGACAGGTAGAAAAGAGCAGACAAATTATAATCAGAAAGGACATAATCCTTTTTATCCCCTTCTGTCAATCATATCTAGCCATGTTGTACCATACATTCTTTTCATGGAATGAACTTGATCTATCTTTCAAGATAATAAATACTTGCCTCATTTTGTGTAAATACACTGTTCTGAAAACCACCTGCAGTGAGATGATGGGAGACTCCTTATCAGGAGCTTTTGTTCATCAGTCACCCAGACAAAGACTCTGAAAATGAAATGCACATGTGATTGTAAGGTTGGAATAGGATACAAAGTTTCAAGGACCAATTGTAGTATTTACTGGTTTTAAAACTAATCATAAGCATAAAATCTAAGAGAAGCACTCTGAATGAAACAAGATAATAATACCTAGAATATTTACTGCATCTGTTTTATTTTAGACAGATGAATACTTCCCTCAGGTCCCTTCATGATCTCAGAACCTGGGGCAGTGCTCTTTGGAAGATTTTAGGTCTGATATGAAAGAAACAACATTCTCATACACCTAATAACACAATTTGGCACTCTCTGCTGCTCAGGCTTGCTATTGTATAGAATCTCAGGCATTTTTGCCTAAATGTAGAAACTGTGACTCAATGACAGGCATCTTCCATCTCTGCTATAATAATTGCATCATCCTCAAATCCATTCCAGGCCTTCAATAAGAGCATCCCCTGGTTTTTTGGCTTGTTTTCCCTTTTGTTCCCATCTGCCTTGCTCAGTCTATGCACCTCTTCCTTCAGGATTTACTGACCAAGTCAGTAGTTTTGGTGAGAAGTCTTTGTTTATCTTACCTCAATGTATCAGGAGACAGGAAGTTCCTCTTCTAGGTAAACAGCTCTTGTCTTTTTTGATATATTCAAGTGATTGTATTTTCCCACCTCAGGGAGGAAAAAGGAAAGAAGGACATAAAGGCACTCCAGAAACAGCTGCAAGAAGTCAAGAAACAAACTAGTCAAGACCTTCAGGTGAGAGCACTTTGTACTGGGCATCTTGCCAGGGGGAAGCCTGTTAGGAAGCTGGCCTCTGCTGCCCAGCACTCAGGGGGGCCATGGCCATACACAATGAGCCACCACTTAGGAGTACAGGAGCAGAATAATTACAATAAAGATTTGTACTTGGAATAAGCCCACTAATGACTTCAAGAACAGCATCTGATGGTTTTCAAATGGGAGCTCAAAATGCTCATAATCATGAGAGACCGTGGTCAAATTACAATATCCCAGAAACTCTGCTGGGAGTGACAAAGCACAGATAGTGCAATCAGTAAGAAAGAGGTTATTTGCAGGTAACAGTATCTAAGGTCCTGTCAGACTCAGTCATGACAGATCATTTGGCACAGAAGGAAGTGTGCCAAAGGGAGTGAGAAAGACACCTATCATAGGGGCAGGCCATTTTTCTACCTACATTTTCATCTGGGGAAAGTGTCATTCTATTAATCTGTTTTTCTAGGCTTCCAGACATCAGAAAATCCCAAACAAGCCTACACAAGGGCAGATCAATGTTATTGCACATATGCTGTCAACTTAATCTTTCTGGAAAGCTTCAGCCCTTCTGTCTGCATCATGCAAAGGGTGTGTGCATGCACAGTAAATATGGGGCATTCTGGAAATATAAAACTTGCTACACTAGTGCAGATCAATTGAATGGCTTATCACTGGTCACTTTGATGCTCATCAGACAGCTCAGACTGGATGCTCATTCAACATGGAAATGTAGCCTGGCCCTGCTGAGGCAGATGTGTGGTAGCAAACAAGCAGAAGGGAAGCTGGGGCAGAGCTGTACAGGGGCTGGGGGAAGGAACAAGAATCTGACATTTGGTTCAGTAGTGAGCAAGAGGATAGCAAGGGCATTTGAGGAAAGAATTGGTGTCACTGAGTTTTGTCTTTGGATAAAAGTGTGGAGAGTAATCAAGCCAGGATGCAGTTGACTACAGAGAGGAATTTTAAGCTCCAGACATGCTGGTGAAGTTTGGTTTGTAGAACACAGGCTGTGTTGGCAGCCTGGATGCATACACAGTGGAAAGTTTAATTGTAAATACAGGGGGGACATATTTGCTTCTCACACTGTCCCTTCTCAGTCAGACTCTGAGGGCTCCTGGGAAGTTCCTGCTCTCCCACTCCCCAGGCTGGTGAATGTTATAAGGTATTTCTCCATCTGTGTAGTGCTCTGCAAACCTCACCATGTCCATGCACACAAGATACATACCCAGTCCTGGTTTAATGCCTTCCCAGGGGCTGTGATCATCCTGTCTTGTACCAGCAGCAACGTCCTGGCCCTCCACAGTCAGGGGGCCTCTTCTCTGTGTCCTGCCCTGCACCTCCCCTACTCCTGCAGTCATAAAAATGTGTGCAGCTCCCGTGCTGAGAGGGGGGAGGGGGGTCTTCTTTTTGTCCTTTTAGTGCTAATTCAGTTCTTGGGTTTTGCCTCATCAAGTGGGATTTGCACTTATCTGGGATTTTTTAAAAAATATTTCAAGCTTAAAAGTCCTTTTCTGAGCTTCCTTATAGTTTCAGCTTTGATAAATCAAAGACAAGACTACTTTAAATTACTGCTTTCCTCCTGTGCCAAAAATAATGGTGTCTCATTGTGTCTCCCAAGGGAGAATAATTTCTATTTGCTTCATATGGGATTTTCCCATAGGCAGTTTTACAGACACTTGCATGATTTGTCACCTTGCCAACTAATTAAAAATAAAAATACAGCTTCACTGACTTTGGAGTACTTTGAACAGCAGTAATAATGCACAGACCTGTAGACAAAAGCCTACATGGCTGAGAAAACAAAAGTGAGCAATTCTAATCCTGGAACCAGAAAAACACGGCCTTTGTCTCACTCATGTTGCTGTGAATTTGTATTTTCAGCCTTTCTACCTCTTAATAAGATGCTAATTAATAGTGTAGTAACCTGTTCAACTCATTTTTCTTTCTAATGGAACACAAATCTAATGCTAAATGTTCTGTATTTTGTTTTCTCTTGGAAAGCACTGATGTCTCTAAAAGAGCTGAAATGGTGCATCTGGTTTTGCTCTTACCTCTCTGTGCAGGAGCAGCACTGGTAGCTCAGGTTTGGCTGCAGGGGGTCTGTTTGCTGCTGCTCTGTTCATTTCATAGTTTCTATGAAAATACTTTCTATGGTTTCCTGGACAAGTAACAGCAGCCTGTGCAGCTTTTGAAACATATTAAATATATCATACAAGATTATACAGCATAAGATAAAAATTTAGGAATGTAAAATTTAGCATTCCTGCATTGTTCTTCACCCAAAGACTTTTTATGTCCTGTAGGTTTTGTGGTGTACTCATGTTATACATGTGTGCAGGTAGTGGTGCCATTTTATAACAAGCAGTAATGTTACAGCTACCAAACAGACAGAAAGCCAAGCCACTGCACCACAGGACCAGTGAAAACAGATCTGTAACTTTAATTCTTTGTCAGTTCTCATAACACACCCAGACCCACTGTATCAGTGCATCACTCAGTCATGCTTTTAGTAGTAAGATTAAAACCTGTCATGTTTCTTCCCTTTTCCTCTCCCAGGAGGACAAATGCATCAACAGAGTGTCCTGTGGAATGTTTTAAACACATACACACACCCACTGGTGCATGTTTCTACTGGAGATATGCACAGGATGATCACAGCATAAGGCACAAGTTTCGTGATGGTCCTGAGCTTCCAAGGATCACTGCAGCACCTGGAGCTGGTGCACTAAATCCAGAGGGACAGGGTTTTCCATAGGAGTGCTGCTGCCAACAGGTCTGCTCCCTCTGCCAGCAAAGTGCCCCTCCAGGGGCTCTCCTGCAGCTGCTGGCATTGCTGCTGAGCTGGCCGAAGGCTGCAGAAGCGTTCTGTCCATGCCCTGCTGTCCCTGGGGCACAGACATTCCCCGAGGGTGCTGGGGAGCTGGGACAGTGATGCAGGCAGAGCCCCACTGAAGGGCCTGCAGGGCTGCTGCTCCCCTGTTGTGGTTTCAGGGGAGTGAGCCCAGGCTGCAGCAGCTGTGTGGATCCAAGCACATCTCCAGGCCCTGCAAGCTGAGATGCCACAGCTGCCAGGAAGAGCTTTGAGCTCTGAGCACTCGGTGTGGGAGAAAGGCAGAGCAGGGCCTCTGTCAGCACAGAGCACAGCTCTCCTTCCCCTGCCAAATGGGCAGCATTGCACTGCTGCAGAATTCCTCAGACTGTTTACTCCTGGGGGCTATTTTTGTAACCAGCTGTATTTTATGACTGTAAACACTAATTGCTGTGGAAGAGCTTGGTGGCACTTACAAGAGAGATAAATCAAAGCAAATGAAAACATAGGAGTGTGGATAAGGTTTCCAGCTAAGTGCAGCTACTTTTGCAGCCAAATAGCATCTGTGGGGATGACTCCAGTGGCACCAGGTGACAGCAGACAGGCCCCTGAGCTGATGTCTATGAGCTGAGAGATCAGAGAAAATCAGCTTGTTTACCTGCTTGTGAAGCAGTCTGGCTCCTGACAATTACTTCCTGGGTTTTGATCTTGGTCTCTGCCAGTTTTCTGATAGTTTTGGATACGAGGGACGATTTGGTTTGGCAGATTCAATGGTGAAGTCATCCCAAATAAGCAGCCCAGAGATTTACTGCATCAGCTATGAAAGCATTCCATGTCCTGGCATGGACCTTTGCTATGATAAACCAGAATGAATAAATATTAGCTCATTTTTCCCAGTTATTGTCCCTGAAGTTTGGGGAACAGTACATTCTGCAGATGGTACCCACAGCTAGTGGGCATTTACTGCTGCATTTACAGCCTTGAGCTAAATCCCAAAGGTGCCCCAGCTGTGCAGGTCCTGCAGCAGGAGCTGCCCTCACGCCCGCAGCCGGCATTTCTTGGCCAGGCAGATGCTGCTGTAAAGCACCCGTGGGTTTTGCATTTCACTTCCTGTCTGCTTTGGATTGTGTAACGAAGCCCCCAGACTGCCCTCCTCTAACCAGTGTGTTTTACAACACTGCAGACCAAATCCAAACCACAGACATGCCATTCACCAGAGAAAACAACAGAACAGATGGGCCCCCCTCCCGGCTGAGGCCTGGGGCACAGGAATCAAAAGCACTTTTTTCTTTAATAAATGTGAAATGAAAAAGAAAATAACCTGGTGAGAAGTTCACGCTCTGTCCCAACTCTCTGAGTACTTTGTAACCTAGGCTGAACCCTTATTTTCTGGCAAGTTTGCAGATCACGAGCAGATAGCTGTAACATACTGACATCAGCAGTGTTTGACTTTCCTGAGCCTCAGCTCCACAAAAAGTTGTGGGTTTGCTTTTTTTAAATTAGCATCTCCTCAGTCTCTCTGCTGGTTCTTCAGTTGAGACATCATTCCACTATGACCCAGGAAGACAATCTCAAAATAGAGTGGTACATTCACATCCCCTGTCTACTGACCAGGAACACTTCTCCCAATGGCCACCAAAGTTCCATGCCAGGGAAAATAAAGGTCGTGACCAGAAACCTTAATGAGGCACAAACAACTCATGTCTGTAGCTGTCTGCAGTCATATGATGATATGGCCATAAAAATAGTATCTGATGTTTGAAACATTCAAAAACATGTGAACATCTTTGAACCCACAAAACAGCATCAGCCAAGGCCTCAATTATCCTGAGCCTCATAAATGTACTCTGCTCTTCCTATGCATGACAAGGGGTGCAGAAGGAAGGACTTTCCTTTTAACTGTTCCAAACTCTTCTTATAAGGAGACTTTTTCCAAATGAGTCATGCTGCAAGGGCTTTCAAACACAGCACTATTGAGCTGGTTTCTTTTAGTGGCATTTTTCCATGTTTACACAGCTAAGGAATGCGAGGTGCTTCAGAGACAAGATATGTGGGCTTCAAAAAATGTCAGCACTTTGGTATTTCATCTTCAGCTGTGGAGGTTTGGCTGCTGAATATCAAACCCACCACAGCATGGTAGGGAAGCAAAGAGAAAGGCTGTAATGGAGCAGTTGGGTGCATTCACATTGATCCTCCATAATTACACAGGAATCTTTGATGACCTTTTTAACTCAATAAAGTCTTCATTTTACAGGCATTTGTCCCAAGTTCCAATCCCAGGGTTATGAACCTTTATCTGCTATTCAAATAAATTAATTAAAAAGGAGTAAACAGAACAGCAATCCCAAGTCAAGCAAATGCACTTTGCTTCCTGAGCATGCTCCAAAAGCTGGACAAACCACTCAGGATTCTGCTGTATGGGAGAACTCTCGGGAACAGAAAACTGAACTTTCTACCCCAGGAAAGCTCAGCTCCATTGCAGAGCAAGGCATGGGGAGAGGCTGGGACCTCATAGGCAGATTTTCCTTGACACTGCTTCCTTGCCCTGGGTGTGTTTTCATAATGAAGTGGGCACCATCTACCTGGTAAGATTTCAAGAAAGAACTGTTTGAAAATACAAGCAAGTCAGCATTAGATTTGCACTTGTTCCTAAGGCTGTGTTTATACAGTTGCTGCATAACTAGGAAAAAAAATAAATTCAGGGAATAGAGTATACTTTAGGATAACAAACTTTGGCTTTTGTGGGGCTGAGACATTATCCTCCTCTTACAGAGGCTCACTCACTGAGATAGTCTAATGCAAGGTGTTAGTAAAAGTAAAGCCTAACTTTAAGTGGTTAAAATTCTTTGGCTTTTATTCATGTTTATCTTAAGCATGACTGAATCAATTTCTTGACCAGAGAGCAGGCCTGCCTTCTTGTCCCACTCTGTGCCTCAGTCTGCTGTCTTCAGAGGCAATCATTCCTTGCTGATGGGTTTGTTGCTGCCTATATGGGTTACGGATAAAACTAACCTTTGAAATGCTTCTTGAAATGGAGCAACATTCAAGTGAAAGTGAAGCCCATAGCTTTGTCTCTTCTGACTTTATCAGGGAGTGGAGAGATTAAGGAAGGTGAGCTGAACTCAGTGTCCAGGCCTGCTTTTGTGCTGCTTTTGTCTCCACTAGAGCCGAGAAAAAGTTATTGATGGCCTTAAAGATAAGCTTCAAGAGATCACTGCCAAAGTGGACACAGAGAGCAACTACCTGAAGAAAAACTCAGATCTCCAGATCCAGCTAACCCAGAAAAAGTGCAGCAGTGCAGAGAATGCCCTGGAGAAGGAAATCCAGGTAAGCCCTTCCCCATGGTCCACACTGAAAGGCCTCTCCATCTATTAAGGGAAGAGCCCTCCCTTGCTCCCCAGATGCCCTCTCTGTTCTCCATTGCAGTCACCAGCACAGCTGTTTGAGCTGGATGAGAAAACTCACTGGGGATAGACACCTTTATCTCTTCTATTGTTTCTCTGTATGATGCTGCAAACAGCAACAACAAGGATGGCATGGCTGTAGGAGACAGGGAATGCTTCAAGCAATGCCATGGCCAGAAAACCAGACCCAGAAATGTATCCAAAGGTATTGGCAACCTGAGCTCCCAGCAGTGCCCCCAACAGATTATACACACAGAGTTGCTTCTGTGGCCATAAGGACTAGAAAATGGACTGGTTTTGCAAGCATCCTTTTTTGACTGATCAAGGTCTGATCTAATTGTCCCTTTTTCATGGATGGCCTGGGAGCAAGGACTGCCTTGGCTGATTTTATCACTGGGAAATATGTCTGTGGACTACACAGAGCTCCAGCACTTGTTAATCAGCTTTTAGCAGCAGTGTGTGCACACACACACCAACAGTGTCTCATACATGTTCTGTCTGTTCTGATCACAGAATTTGAAGAGCAAAATTGATGAGGAGATTCAGCTTCACACAGAGACTGAAGATTTCCTCATGCAAGAGTATCTGGTATGTGTGACTGTCAGCCAATGCTTAAAATAGCAGCCTATAAACACCATATCATTGATTAATGCCCAAGGGAAAACAGTTATTGCTCCATCAAATGTACCAGGTTCATGACTGCTGCAGTTTGAATGATTACTTGTCCTCAAATCTTAATTAACCTAGCTCTCCAAGGCTTGGGATTTGCTACATGCAGATATATTTCCTTAAAATTAGGGTTCATGTAGTGAATTACATTGTTTATTCAGGTGTTATGGATTTTTCCTCTCTCAGTTGTATTTGGCTAACTGGAATTTTATTTAGACCCTACTTAGCTGTCACTGGGGCTCCCAGCACCCCCAGTGAAGAGCCCAAAGTAAGGGCTGTGCAGAGGGGAGGGACACTGGGGAGGGAATGACACAAACTGCCAGTCCAGCCTTACCTGAGGAAGAATTGGGGTTGGATCATTGCTAACCCACAACTATTTTACACATTTTCAGCAGCATGAATGTCCTTGTGGTGTTGATTCAGAGGTTCAGAGCATTCCTATTATTAACAGTGAATAACCTGACAGTGAATGATGCTGCAAAGCCTCTCATAAATGGTATGATGAGAAGAAAACCTGGACTGCTGCAGGGTGCCTGAGGTCACTGCCAGTACAGAATTTAATAGGAAATAATACCTTTTAAAAAATGTAATTTGAGTGCAAAGCAGTGGTGTATCTTGTGAGCAGTTGGACAGTGTGCTCTGCTCCCCAGAGCTCTGGTGTGATCAATGCTCCCAGCGAGGGCACAGCCCCAGCACACGCTGAGCCTGGCTGAGCTCCAGCAGCAGCCCCTCAGTGCTCAGACAGCAGCTGCTGCCTTTGCAGGGGCTGCAGACAGGAGGATGGCCATGCCCTCCATCCCCCTTGTGTGTCCAGCTGTGATGCTGTAATGAGATTGATGCTTTTCCTCAGATTATTTTTCCATGGAAGCAATCATGGTGGTTGCTATGGAGAAGTTATTGGTGAATAGGAGGAAGTCATCTGAGTGCCTGTTTCAGAAACACCTGCCCTATTCATGAACACAAAGCCAAGTTCACAACCTGAAATAGTGTGAAGTGCTGTCCCCTGGGACCTTATTCCTGGTGTGCTGAGCTTAATTCAGAAAGCAGGGAGGAAGTCAGGCAGAGGACTGACAAACTGTGCTTTTTAAACCCTCCCCTCCTTGTGTATACACACACAACAAATGGCTTCTGGCTGTCACTTGCTTCATCAGAACTGACTGCACAAAATAACTGCCCTGCAGTAATTTATGAGTAGTCTTAGGGGTTTGATGCTTTCAAGATGAGAAGGAAACACTGACCATACACAATTGACAGGACTCTCTCCCCCATCATGAAAGCAGGCCACGTAATAGTCGCAAACCTCTCACCTGTGCCCTCTTTTTGCACCATGCTAAGCACCTCTCTCCCCATGCAGAAGGTGAAAGAGAGGCTGGAATACTGGATAGACAAGTATGAAAAAGACACTGCTGCAAAAGATGAAGAACTGGATGATCTAAGAGCATTGAAGGCCGAGAACTTGGAAACAATGCAGAGATTTGCCAAGGAGGTAAGACATCAGCATCTCAATGTTCAGCTATGCAAAATTGCATTGGGCTTTTTCCTACACTCATTTGGATAAGGAACCAGGACCACAGGAAAAAAAATCAGTAATTTTGAGGCATAGGCTGTGATTATAGCACTTGTCTTGGGAAGACAGGGGCTGAGATATCATCTTCTATTTGCCACCTATGACATCAAGGAGGGATGATGATGCTATTTTCAAATACCAGCAAGTAATGAGAGAGCTACTGACAGCCTTTGTGAGGGGCAGAGATACTGTCCCATCCCATCAGCCTGCCTCACCTTACTTTGCTGCCTGAGTCTGAACAAATCTGCTCCTTCTAGGAAGATCAGGATAACACAGCTGAGACTGGAAGCTCATCCCTCCCTGCAGACACACATTCTCAGCTGACCAGAGCTCTGTGATCAGGGAGCTGATTCTGGCTAGAACCATTCCTGCCCCACTGGGTTCTTGGTTAAGTGCTGAGCTCTGATCACAGCAGAACAGCAGCACAGAACACAGAAAAGCATCTAGAAAAATGTGTGCTTTAAAACCAGAAGGAATTTACTTGTAAACATTGCTTACCGTCCATGGCTTGGAAGTGATGGGATGGAGCTGGATGTTTCCCTGCTTGTGGGCTCATTTTTCACTCAGCACAGTCATCTCAGGGTCCCAAGTGTGTTTGTACATCATCTGCTGCTTGGCCTGGGGGACCAAGTGTCCTCCCCACCACCAGCTGCTGCCTGGGAAGCATCAGGCAGCCATTTTACAGCACAGGATCAGGGGGTTAATCACATCCAGGCCGGGAGAGGTTTCACTTTGGCAGCAGCTCCAAGTGCCTGAGGACTGATGGTGGTAATGAGCAACATTTGCCATCTGGATTTAGGAAAGATCAAATAATGAAGGTGGGGAGGAAAGCCCCCACTCACACATTATCCCTGGGCTGCCCTGGAGCTCCCTGCTGCAGAGGGACACCACAACCCACGGGCCTGAGCAGTCCTGGCAGGGCTGTGGGAAGTGTGTAGCAAGATGAGACCTGTAGGCAGCAGAGGGAAAGAATCCTTGCACCAGGGCCCAGGTGAGGCCTGCCCTGGCACACGGCTGGGCACAGTGAGCCCTGAAGGCTGGCTGTGCAGTTCAGGGGATGTGTTTTCATGGCTTTTGCCATCCCTGTGCTTTCTTGCAGTGCCTGACATTCCAGACAACCATCATCATTGACCGGACAGACAAAGAGACCAAGAAGAAACAAAGAGAGCGGGAAGCCCTGGAGCTGAGGAGTGCTGTGAAGGTAAAGGGGAGCAAAGCTGAGGCACTGCTGCTCCAGCAGCAGCTGGGAGTTAATAATCTGTGCCCCAGGCTTTGTGCAGGCAGAAAACAGCCCAAGAAAGATGGCTGGTGTGTGGTGGCACAAGCAAAGGACAAAGCCTGCTCCTTTTGCTGGGGCACACTGAGCCAGCAGCTAGCTGCAGGTTTGAGAAGGGAAATGAAAGGGGAGCAGGCAGTCTCCTGCAAATATCACTGCACAGGTGATACAGGGAGGGTCACGGGGTAGTGCCCCTGCTTTTCCCTGGCCACCAGCAACAGCTATGCCTTCAGCCTGCCTTCAGCCCAGCTATGGATGCCTTTGGCACAACTAGCACAGGCCCAAAGGCTGCTGTGTGGGCTGGGGAGCACAGGAAAGACTCTCCAGGCATTGAGCTGTACCAGGGACCCCAGCAGTAATTTCCCCTCAGGTCTCTCTCTCCCTCACTTGCAGGTGCAGGCCTGGTGGAAAGGTACAATGGTCCGCAGATTCCTCGGCCCCTACCAGAAGCTTGAGAAGTATTTGAAGGGAATAGGAGAGGAAACAGGCAAGGAAAAATCTGGAGCAAAGAAGAAAAAAGCTAAGTAAAGAAAGTGGCCACAGATGTGCTCCAGAACTGCTGCTGGGCAGGGCACTGTGGTATGTCTGACAGGACAAAATAAACCATGTAACAGAGCTTAGGCAATGTTGGAGAATGCAGTTCCTGCAGACACACTTATGGTGAAGCTGCACTGAAGATCTTAAAGCTGCCATTGTTCAGCCTTTTTTCCCCAGCAGAAAGGGGATTTGCATCAAAGCAGTGAGAAACACTATCCCCTGCAAAGAGCTTTATGGAAACATGACACTGGGAGGCAATCTGTTACCAGCCCAGTAACTCAGCAGTGTGGGATGCTCTGCACCCAGAACCTCCTCTGCTGCCCCCAAAGCTCTGGCTGTGGCTCTGTGTTAGGTGGGGAGGCTGAAGCAGCCCCAGTGGGCTCTCTCTGTGCTCTCCATGCCTCCAGTGCTGGCATCAGATCAGCAGGGAGAACATGGGCAAGTCTGCAGTGTAAACACAAGTGCAGTCAGAGCATGCAGGTTTCCATTGCCACAGTCCTGCACAGTGTCAGTGCACAGACAGAACAGCTCCATGTACTTTCTGACCAAGGGAAAAACAAGGAGCTCTGGAGATATCAGCAAAGGATTCTGTACAAAATCAGTCTCTGGGAAGGCTAAAAATACCTAAGAAAAACCTTCTGATGTGGCTGCAAAATATGTGTAAAAATACTGTGATTTTCCTGTCCTGGTTAACGATTAAAAGTAGAAAATCAAAGCAGGTCCATCTAATGCGAACTGGGATGATGTGAAAGGGGAATAAACACCTAACACAGAGGATGGGACGTTTGTTGGTGCAACAGAAAAACAGCAAGAAGAAATACTGCAGTTCATGTAAGTTTTAAAACTTTATTTCAAATACCCATGGTTTCCTTTTATATTACCAATGTGCTAGAAGTTCACACTACTGGCAGAATACAGGCGACTTAAAATATACAATATTCAGACACATTTATATGTAACAGAAATGATGGAATGTATTTACAGACATACAACATGGGATGAAGCTTTAAAATCCTTTACTCTATTACTTACACGTTTACACTGTTTTCAGAAATAACAAAATTAGATCACTTTGTAGAACATCACAATATCTATACAAAAGAATTTTCTGATGTCCAAATTCACCTTACAAGTCCTCTGTTTCTAAAACAGTTTTTCAAAGAACCATTTATAGTCATAAAGGGGAAAGAATACCGTTTGCCATCCTGCTGCTACCAAGAACAAGAGAGGTGCCTGGGTGCTGTGCAGAGTTGTCCCTGGTGGATTTAAGCAGGGGGCAGGGCCTTTACAAAAGCCTTTCCTTCCAAGGGGAACCCCCAGCTGCTCTGCCCTGGCCCCCAGTGCCATCAGGGGCTCCCCAGTGCCTGGGCTGCTCCACCTGGAGTGTGGGACCTTGCAGAGCCTCAGGCAGTGCCCAGGGCTCGCCAGGTTTGAGGATGGAGTGTGGCACCATGGAGTCAGTGCAGGAACAGCAGCAGCACAGAACACTGAGGTGGATCCCTCCCACATCCTCCAGCACAAATGCCCCAAAGAGGAAAGATCATCTCTTCTTTGCTTTAACACACAGAATAGAACTTTATACATGTTTTGTTTCAAATACTCTTTTCATGGGCTACAACAAAAATTGCACATAACTACACTGAAAAATCCCAACCCATTTTGCAAGAGAGAACTGAAGTGGGTTTGGTATAACACATTAAATAAACCACATGATGAAACTTCAGGTTTGGATTTTTGTCCAAAAAGCATCTGGACAAGGTTTAGTGCTTGCCAGCCTGAAAACCTAAGATTACAAATGTCAAACTAACACAATTACCTACACTGAAACTCCAGAGTGAATGTTGCTCACAACAAAGTCCCTGGTGCCAGGGACCTTCTGCCTGCCTGGCCTCAGCCACAGGTGGCCATGAGCCACACATGGCAATAGGAAATGGCTCTTTCTTGCAGGCCACACTCAAGCCCCCACCTCATTAAAAACTACTGTTAATTAAATGACAAAATCTCCACCAACCTGAATACTGTTAAGTTTCACTTTCCTTAAATGCTGGAGCAATCACCACACCCTTGCAATTCATGAAGGGAATGGTTTTCTTCAAACAGGGGTATTTAAACTGCCCATGATGGGTGTGCTGGTAAATGCAACTGTCCCTGTAACAACAGGTGACCCAATGTTGGACACCAAGATGAAGTCAGTGCCTCCCTCCCTCTCAAATTACGTGCAGAGACAAACACAGCAGGAACACTCTGACTGAGTCTGCCTGTGAGTGGCAGCATCTTCCTCCCAGCAAACTGCAGCAGACACGTCAGACACCTCTGTGTAACCCTGTGGGGATGACCAAGGTTCCTCACCAATGGCATCAAGTGAAACACAAAAATCACTTAAGGGGGTGGGAATGCCTGTGTGGAGCTGCTCTTCCTGTGGGGACTGAGTTCCTGGCACCTCCATTCCCTGCAGGGCACAGGGTGCTGCCTTTGCCCAGCATGAGGAGGTTTCTCTTTGCAGCTGGGCACTCTTAAACACCTCCCAGTGACCAACCAATGCCAGTAAAAAGCAACTGGAATAATTATGAGAAATAGGGGATTCAGCAATCACCACAACAGCCCTTGAAAGAAATACATGAAGCAAAACAAAATGGAAACAAAACTGCAACTCAAAAGGGAAAATGCAGCTAAGACCAGTCCTTGGCACTCTCACAGCAGGTTTTACTTCTACAAAAATGACTTCTAGCTATTTTGTTTCCATTTCTTCTTTCTTTATCTGCATAAAACCCTCTCAGTGTATTCTGCTTCAAATACATCCCAGACAGAATATGGCTGATGCCTGGAGTTGCTTTCAGACCATGTACCATGTATTAGTAGCATAATGTTCAGGGACAAAGGAACCACATGGGTGGAAACTGATTCTGTGAGGCCTTTTGGGGGGGCAAGGGGGAAAAGAATTGTTAATTGGTCTGGTAGTGAGCTTGGCCTTGTCACTAGGACCAGAGCACAGAGACCTGTCTTTATTTTGCACATCAGCTTTCCAGGAAAATGCAAAATTTGTCAGCTGCCTCTCCCACTTCTGTACTGTGAACTACGGAAAGAGGAATCAAGTAACAGCAGTTCTGTAAAACCAGCACCTCTCTCTACATAAACCCCAACTAATAAAAGGCTTTATTGAAAGCCTTGTCTAACCCTTCAGAGCTGCCTTAGCACAGAGCTGCTCTGCCAACAGCCAGCCCACCTGGGGAACTTGAGAACTGTGCTCTTAACACGATCCATGCTGTGCCTGCAGGGGATGCTTCAGCCCTCGTAATTGTGTTAGCTGGGAGACTTGTAATGACCAGCAGGGCAGGCTGGCACTGTTCCCACTGCAGGGAAATGCACGGGATTCTGGTGATCCCACAAAACCACCAGAAGGGGATGTGAGGACAGGGGAACCTCCCTCCACTGCTGTTGGAAAAGAGTTCAGATAAAGACATGTTAAAACCCAAACAGAAAGTGAACCCAGCAAGAATGCTGATGGGATTAATCCCATTCGAACAGATCTGACTTAGTATCTTTTACTAAGGTGTTTCTGGCAGAGAAAACATGCAGTAATTTTTCCACTGGGGAAAAATAAAGTGTTTTTTTTCTTCAACTTTTAGTGATGAGGACCTACCAAGCCAAGTGACAGCTGTGTGAAGTTCGACCCTGTTATCAAACACTGCAGGTTAAGATTGTGTGATGCAATTAAAAAAAAATTATAATAGAAACACCCATTCTTTGGAGGCAAAGAAACTCAATTTCTTTGCACCCTGCGGATAAGGAAATAATTTAATTCCCTGTGTGCCCACTGCAGCAACACCCTTTTTTTTTTTTCCTTTTTACAAATTCCCCTGGGAATTGCTTTCCAGACTCTAAACCCATTTCTTCATCCTGCAAGGTCCGTTTCTACAGCTGGCTCCAACAGCCAGCCACTAGAATTCCCTGCCCTCCTCCCAATGTACTCTCATTTTTTAAATAAGGGGCAAAAATATTGGTAATAAAAATGTTCCTGGAAACTGTTGTGATCTCCAAAAAAATGGAGAAATGAAGTAAAACATTCCTGTCAGGAATCATGGAAACTCATTTCCTTAGAACAGAGCTCTGTGTGTTTGGATGCACTGCATGGGCAGTAAAGTCTTCAGGTCCTTCTGCTTAGCCAAGGTAACCCAAAAGGTCCCGGAGGTCCTTACACAGCAGACAAGTGGTGCAGGGGCTGCTGCTTTGGGGGTGCCAGCTCCAGGAGCGCCTGCACAGTCACAGCTACCTGTGTCAAACCCTTCTCTTCTAAAATATGCAGAGGCAAACATAATTGCTCCTGAATGGGGAACAAAACAAAGACAAAAACAAAATGGATGAAAACCACTCAACTGAAAAGAAAAAAAAAATTAAGCAAAAAGTGACTGAAATATGAAATGTTATGGACAGGCAGCACACACACATAGGGGTAGGACATGAGATTTCTGCTTGTGACAAAGGAACCATGACCTTGACTACTCAAGAAAGGTGGCCGTGGGCTAATCTCTTGTGTTCTTTTAATAGAAAACTCTATAAATAAGAATTTGAAAAAGGGTTGTGGGAGAAAAGGGGAATAGCAAATTGTCCTCCATCTCTGCTCACACTGAGATGGCAGCAGTTTATGAAACCAAAGTAGATGGACTTGAGGAGGGGGTTGCTTCAATATGATCAATGTGCTACAACAGAGCAGGAGAGGAACCACAGCTTCCTTCCCAAATCACCTTCTGGAGAGAGCCCTGCTGGGACAAGCCTGTTCAGCCACAGCTGTGAGGGAAGCCCTGCTGGGGAGCAGGGAATGAGCCACTGCCACTCACTCACCTCCCCAAAGTGCCCCCCAAAATCATCCTGAGGAGTAACAGTAATACACAACATGCAAAAAGAGGTTTCAAAGTGTTTATTAACAGTTGTGCTATTCTCAGTCTAAGATGTATTTAAAGCCTCATCCTACAGAAGTCCTTGGTACCTCCTGGCCACCCTCCCTCCACAACAGTCAGGATACATGTCCAGCAGTTCTCTGTATCCCAAGTGTGTCCTTCCTATACAGCTACAGAGATTATTTTTCATGTGTCATTTCCACATCAACTGGCATTTCTCCACTCCTTGAGTCTTTACTGATTTTTGAGGTTAAAGAAATCCTTCAGCACAAACAGTGGCAGCCAACACTCCTCCCTCAAAGCTCTGAGCAGAGAGAAAACAAGTGAGCCCCGACTGCAATTCTCATAGAAAGCCATATGCTCAGGCTAAAATACATTTTTCTTCCAGCAAATGTATATTACTTTGAAAAAAGTGTGCTTTTTGAGAAAATACTTGTAAACTTGAGTAAATATGCCTTATCTTTTTCTTATGTATGCAAACAGATAAGAGGGGAAAAGCTTTGGAATGACTCCATACCGCAGACAGTAATGACAAACAAAATGTAAAAACTGGAAGGCACTGTTAGTGTAAAACCCCTTGCAGCTTTTATCACAGTGTTCATTAGAGGTTAAAAAACACAGGAACTGAGTTCATTTTAGTTCATACCAGTAAGCAGTGCAAAAATAGCTTACTTAAAAGTAAAACAATCTCCCCCTGTCAAAAGTCCCTTCTTTACTCAGTGATATTTGGCTTGGACAGAACACTTTGTGTGACTTGGACAGAAGGCAGCAGCTCTTACTTGCTCCTTTGATAAAACTCACTTCATGGTACAAGAGCTTGTGAGACCCACATACACATAACACATTTTTACTGGTAGTGACCACATTTGCAACTGAACTCCTGTGTACCTTAAACTGTGCTTCAGAGGTGTTCCAGGATATGGCTGGAATACCAACACCACTTGCACTGGGCTTCCAAGCCATTTACCGCACTTGCAGATATAACAACATTTATTGAAGACAGATTTGGAACAGCCATTTCCTGAACACTTACCTGTGCCTGGTGTCTGAGCAGAGCTCCCTGAATGGATCTCCACTCTGAGGAGACATGGTCTGTTACACACATGGGGAGTGCCCTGAAGTTCTGAGGTGTCCCTGAGACATTAAAGCATTAAAGCACCAGGGTGCTTTCCCTGGGGAAAGCCCTGTGGGGAGGGAAAGGCTGTGAAGCTTTATGGAAGACTACCTGAGTTTTGTAAAACAGTAAAACAGTGAAGAGTGCTTGTGCAGCTGGGCCTTATGTTTGTGCAATTGCATGATACAAGTGTTTCTGAAAATGACAGGATAAGAGGAAGAAGGGAATAAGCATGGAACAAGCTTGGGTTGGAGTGCCCAAGATCAAGGGAAAGTTCAACAAGTTTTTGGTCTTATCCAGATCACAGTAAAATGCTGTGACATTCTGTAGCACCTGACAGGATCATAAAGATTTTTCTGACAGAAAACTTTTCTCTTAAAGCTGTTGAAGAGCTTAATTTCTCTGAAATTGTTCTGCTTGAACTGTTATAATGTTCAAATAGCTCAGGATTCATTGACAGTTGTTTTGAAAATCCTGAATCAAAGTAATACAGCAGAGTCTATAAATTTGAGAAATCAAATGCTCTTAGAAGTAGGATAAAGGACTGAGGGTAAAAAAAACAAACCAGTTTGAAAGTTTTGTGGATGACACCAGACCATGTCTCCTAAGACTGTGAGATCACATCAAGAACATTGACATTGAAAAAAATACTTCACATTGTTTAACATTTTTCATCAGATAATCCTCAAGCAGGTTACCAAAGTGGTTGCATTTCCCATTACACAGATGGGGGAACAGAGGCACAAACTGACACTGCAGTTTCACTACACCACTGGTCAGCAGACTCCAGCATGCACCACATGTCCTGCCCCCAGCCCTCGCTGGAGCCCAGGGACAGCAGCTCCTCCCTCCCTTGGAAGGCATTGCATCTGCTCAACGTGCCACAGCAAACACCAATGGGAACTGGGTCACGGACGGCGCCGTGGGTGCACCAACGCGTTTGTATTTTGTACTTGTCACCTCTGTCCCCTCCGTGGGAAACAAAGCACTTCATACACACAGTCTTGGCAAAGCCCACAATCTGTTCCCAAGCACTGGAGTGATGGAGGGAGGAAGCAGCACCACTATCCTTCACTAGAGGAAAAAGACCCAGCGATAGAACATACAGAGCGTTAGCATTAGAGTACAGTAAAACACCACAAAGCCCCAGAGCTGAACGGAAAGGGACACAAGACTGGATTCTTCTGAATCTGTCCCCAGGGAAAGAAGAGTCTCA